TTGGGGTCCCCACGGGTGAGAAGAGAGTGGAGGGTCCCCTGAGACCCCCAAATTGGTGTCGCCCCCTCCCCAAATTAAAGCACCGAGCCCAGCCGGGACCGGCAGCGTTTATTTGGGCCGCTCTGAGGGGGCTTTTGGGGGGACCCCGGGAGTCGGGAGGGGTCTCGGGGGAGATTTTGGGGTCCCCACGTGTGAGAGTGGAGTGCGAGGGTCCCCTGAGACCCCCAGATCTCACGTCGCCCCCTCCCCAAATCAAAGCTCCGAGCCCAGCCGGGACCAGCAGCGTTTACTGGGGGGCTCTGGGGGGTTTCTTGGGGGGACCCCGGGAGTCGGGAGGGGCTCGGGGGCAGATTTTGGGGTCTCCACGTGTGAGAAGAGAATACGAGGGTCCCTCTGACTTTGCTGAGACCCCCAAAGTGACGTCGCCCCCTCCCCAAATTACAGCGTTTACTGGGGCTGCTCTGGGGTTTTTTTTGGGGGGTCCCCGCTCGCCCCCTCCCCTTTTGAGGGGCTCGGGGGAGATTTTGGGGTCCCCACGTGTGAGAGTGGAGTGCGAGGGTCCCCTGAGACCCCCAGATTTCACGTCGCCCCCTCCCCAAATCGAAGCACCGGGACCAGCAGCGTTTATTGGGGCCGCTCTGGGGGGTTTCTTGGGGGGGTCCCCGGGGGTCAGGAGGGGTCTCGGAGGTTTTGGGGTCCCCACGGGTGAGGATGAGACGTGGAAATCAGCCCTGGCTTTGCTGGGACCCCCAAATTGGCCGTAGCCCCCTCCCCAAATTGTGCCGCGCTCCTGCAGGCGCAGGCGCTTGAGGATCTCCTCGAACTTGGGGCGCTGGCTCAGGTGAATTTGGGGCCGTTCCCGTCCCCACCAGGTGAATTTTGGGGTCTCCCCAGGTGAATTTTGGGGTGTCCCTGCCCACCCCAGGTGAATTTTGGGGTTCCCACCTGTGCCGCGCTCCTGCAGGCGCAGGCGCTTGAGGATCTCCTCGACCTTGGGGCGCTGGCTCAGGTGAATTTGGGGCTGTCCCTATTTCCCACCCCAGGTGAACTTTGGGATGGAATTTCTCCACCCAGGTGAATTTTGGGGTGTCATTCTCCCTCCCAGGTGAACTTTGGGATGGAATTTCACCCCTCAGGTGAATTTTGGGGTGGAATTTCTCCACCCAGGTGAATGTTGGGGCTCCCACCTGTGCCGCGCTTCTGCAGGCGCAGGCGCTTGAGGATCTCCTCGAACTTGGGGTGCTGGCTGAGGTGCTGCAGGCGCACGTGCACGCCGCCGCGCAGCCCCGTGCCCAGGTTGGACGGGCAGGTGAGGATGTAGCCCAGGTGCTCCGTCCACATGAAGGGGTGCCCCGCCTTCTTGAAGATCTCCTCGATCTGGGGACAGCCGGGGGACACGCGTTGGGGACACGGGGGACACCCAGGGGACACCTGGGGGACACCCCGGGGACACCCCGGGGACACCTGGGGCACACCTGGACACACCTGGGGAACGCCCAGGGAATGCCCAGGGCACACCCGGGGTGCTCAGGGTTGTTGGTGGCACTCCAAATGTCACCTCGATGTCCCCAAAGTGCCACCTGTGCCCAAATGTCACCATCCCCAAATGTCACCTGTCTCCCAAATGTCACCTGTCCCCAAAGTTCTATCCCCAAATGTCACCTGTCCCCCAGGTGTCACCTGTTCCCAAAGTTCTCTCTATCCCCAAAAGCTCTCCTTGTTCCCAAATGCCACCTGTCCCCAAAGCTCTCCTTGTCACCAAAGTTTTCCTTGTGCCCAAAGTGTCACCTGTCCCCAGATGTCACCTGTCCCCCAGATGTCACCTGTCCCCAAAGCCACGCCTGTCCCCAAAGTTCTCCCTGTGAGCTCTCCTTGTCACCAAAGTTTTCCTTGTGCCCAAAGTGTCACCTGTCCCCAGATGTCACCTGTCCCCAAAGCCACACCTGTCCCCCAAGTTCTCCCTGTCTCCAGATCCCCTCAATGTCCCCAAAGTGACACCTGTCCTCAAATGTCACATGTCCCCAAAGTTCTCCTTGTTCTTAAAGTGCCACCTGGCCCCAGATGTCCCCAATGTCCCCAAGTGTCCCCAGGTGTCCCCAGTGTCCCCAAGTGTCCCCAGGTGTCCCCAAGTCCCCCCTGACCTTCTTGAGGCCGACGCAGAAGCGCCGGAACACCTCCTTCATGTTCCCTCCCTTCTCCATGGAGATGTGACCCCAAACCCTCCGTGT